GCAGTAGCAGTAGCAGTAGCAGTGGTAGTAGTAGTAGTAGTAGTAGTAGTAGGAATAGTAGTAGTAGTAGTAGCAGTAGTAGTAGTGGCAGCAGCAGCAGCAGCAGCAGCAGCAGCAGCAGTGACAACGGCGCAATCGTACCTGACAGTAACGGACTGTAAATCAATAAGCTTCAGACTGACAACGAACATGATTCTACTGAGGGTACAAGACGGATGGAATCTGAGAAGAACAATACGAATGAGGACCAAGGGACACATGGCCAAACCGCCGCCGTTGTGGCAACGGGCTCCTGGCGCGGAGAAAACTATCGGTGTTGGACGCTTTGAAACTACAGAGCTACCGAACAAAGAAACTGAATGGCCAACTTTGCGAAAAGTGGCAATTCAGCTTTGGGTTCATCCTTACCGTGTAACAATTCAGTCGGCTTGCATCACCACCGGTCCGTGACGCACGAGCCTCGACAAATCCTTGGACATCCACCCTTTCATATCGCTTCCGTTGGCTTTCCTTCCGCTTCAACCCAAACGCTAACTTGGCAAATCCTCAACCTGGTCGCATCAATGTGGTCTGAATCCTTTTTGAAGCTGAGGCCAGGTTGGGGTTGCGGTTGTCGCTTGTAGCCTTCAGTGTGAACGCGTAGTGCTGCTCTCGTGAAGTCTAGACTCAGTCACATCTCCTGCACCAATCGAAAGACTCGTGACCAGCATAACTCACATGACGGTTCAAGCAAACTGTTCCGTCATATTGCACTCGTCTACGAAGTTAACCATGGTAAAGGTGCAGTTTTCCAAGAGCTGAGTATGAATCCTGAATTGGCCTTCCTTGTCGCGACCCGTGCACCTACCATGAATCGCACACATGTCAAATGCAGAGGATGCCCTGCACACAGTCGCTGCCTCGCTCAACCTCAAGTAGAGAGACATAGAGAGACTACATCTCTAAACCCTGATACCTTTATGACCGCTGCAAACTGAAGCTGCCTTTCAGATAAAAGCAGTGGATGGCTGTAACAATAATCATGACTAATGAGGGTCCTGCTGATGATCATCCCGGTGGTGGTGGTGGTGGTGGCAGTCCATGCTGCAGATCCGGAACAAAACGCATGGCGAGACAAACACTCCAACTCCTCTGCTACCGACACATCCACACAGGTTTCTATGGCTGCATGCTCTAACACTGCACCGATTAGGGATGCATGACCGGTCCTGCTTCACCTGACTCCAAATCCGGTTTGAAAGAGCACCACTTTCCAGACAACCTATGCCATCACCAGCTAATTCTGCACAGTCCTGGGCCACAGCAGACGGCGCTCAGTGCCTCCCGGCAGCATTTGTTCCCTGCGGCACTCGCACCTGCAAGCTCCGGATGACTCTATGCAAACCTACTTGCCGGGCTTCCCTACATGAGACGTCCCTCAGTTCGCCAAGGTGCAATAGATAACGCCGCACCTAGCAGGGTTCCGTTCATGATTGCATCCAGTCTGTCGGAAGCACTAACTCGCCAGGAGGGCTGGAAGCGTCCTTCGCCCTCCTCCAGGAAGGCGATTCCTCTCGGCAAAGATCTGCGAAATTCAATGCGACTTTACACTTATAACTTAGGGCTTGTGCTGCAAAGGTGTATAGTCAGTCATTGTCCTGGGGTGGACATCGTCACAGCAGTCTCAGGATCCGTCATTGCCTCGAGACTCTCTTCCTGAGTGGAAATCACAGCTGCTGTTGAAGCAGCAGCAATGGCACAGCAACGCATCAGCTCACAGTTTTTGTGTAAGATGCTAATCGCACTCTGCAAAATGGAGCGGTGTTCAGAACCAACAATCAAGTCTCGTCCACCTGAGCGCTTCCCTTATGCTGGAGCAAGTTCAAGGAAGCAGACTCGTCATCTGCAGCCAGAGCTTGCATCGATTCATCCTGGGATCTCAATGTGGAAAGCACGAGCATCCGGCAGTGGAACTAAGATCGTGAAGAGCAAATTCTCGAACTTGCTAGTATCGCTCAAAATCCTATTGGACAGAAAAGGGCTCGCATCCATGTCCACGTTCATTTAACACTTAACGTGTGCCACCCTCTTTTCATCCGAGCATCGGCGAAAGAGCCGACAGACAGCATGGCAAGAACGGCCTTAAAGCAAAGCAGTTGGGGTCTACAACACTCCACACCTGTTCAACAGATGCAGACTTCTCTCAATAGAGTGCTTCAGGTAGGAGCACATTGCAACACCCGGTCTACTTCGGATCGCCGCTCGGAATCAGCCAAGTAACGTGGTGTGAGGATCATACAACGATGCTCTTACACACTCGAGAAGCACCACTCGAGCACAAAGCCATCACAAATTCTAGTCGTTGCTCGGATCGCGGCGATGGCAAAGTTCCGCATCATCAGGAAGTGAGCGGAAACGACCAGGAATGGATCGCTTTGTGCTTGGGCCAGAGCTTTGCAAAATCAAACTTCACACACCTTGCCGTTTATTTCAAGCACAGCTAGAGCCAGCGAGACTATGCTTTACTACGAGTGCAGCAGGACCTACCATATGCCCAAAAAAAACACTTTAGATGTCTCTGTGGTGCTTGGTGGCCTGAAGCGGATCACAGAATCTGCCCGGAGCAGAAAGACACCATCCATGGGCGGAGCATCTGGATCCTGCGCGTTCATGCAGATTTCTGCCAAGTTCCGCATGCCAACGTACCTCTTCTTGTCATCCGACCGGCCTCGCGATCTTCTGCTGGAGCAGGTGGACAGCTCCCGCCTGGTCTAGTCTCCGAACATATGCAACCTGTTTGCCTGGAGAGCCCATCCAACATCAGCTGAACAGGACGACAACCCCGTCAAGAACACCCGAAACCCAAAAGGGGCAGGGATTTCACGAACGGACGCGGAACATCTTGACTCATGATCTCTGACGAAAGATCGCAACCTTGGAAACTGCCAGGGCTCCGACTCTGTATTTGCCGCAGCTGCGTCTCCAGATTCTGTCAGCACATAGAACATGGTAGACGACTTGTGCCAGTGATCTCATGAGCATTCCGACGTGGTGCCTCTACTTTGGTCTGCACCAGTTGGTCAATCTGCTCCAGCAGCTCACGCTGTCGTGCCTGCGCATGGAAGCAGATAAAGGAAGCCGCAACCGGCCGGCATTCTGCCAGCCTGCAGCGCTTGGATCCGTTCCAAAACGGCAGCCTCCACCTCGACAGCACAGAGGACGTCGTTGCTTGGCTCTCGGAGTTTTGGCCCTGTGTTCTGTTCAAGTGCGCTACAGCTCAATCGAAATACTTACTTGGTGGAGTGAGAGTTCTACCACGTGGGTTTCAACATTGAGTGCTCCTCATCAATACTGCTCCTCACTTTGCAGCTCTTTGTCGATGTTATGGACTGTCTTGTACGCTCGTACCCGTAACCATGCGTCGTAGACGAGCATCGATATGCGTGACATGCGATAAACGCCCAAGAAGGCGTGGGACATCATGGTATACTCCGTTCGTAACAACTGCTGAGAATCCGTTCAAGGCTGAAAGATTGGAAACCGCGATGCGCGAAAAGGGAACCAAGACAAGGCAACAGCCTCGTTTCGAACGTCGTCAGCCTCTTTGTGGGTCTCTGCGATAACGCACCTGAAACGAGCAATCACAAGCTGCGAACCCAACCTAGTGCCGAAAGAAAGCAAGTAAGCACACCTGCAACTAGCTTTCGAGCGTCGGGCTCCACCCATGTCTGTGTCAAAGCGTGGGGCAAAGCCAATGGCACATTTTTAATGTGAGTGAGAAAGCAACAGAGATACGACGAAGAGAGAGAGCGAGAGAGAACCTGTGAGCTTCGGGTCTGGGTAGGACAGGAGGACGCTGTGGACGCTGTTCGTTTCACAATGAACAGAGCGAATGAGTGAGTGAGTGTCGACCTGGGATGCTCTACGGCCCACGGAAACGGTCCCTCTCGCCTTCTTTGCCCCTCCGCATGCGTCATCGGGGCTCCGATGCAGAGTTCAATGCTCCGGGCCCCGCAATCCGAGCCTGGGATTTGGGGAGGGATGTGCCACCCGAACCTCCATGAGCCCGCCCCCCCAAGCCGACGGCTTGGGTTGGAATTGGACACTTGGCAAGACAGCCCACTTCGCAGGAACAAAGCTCTTCCCTCGATGATCCCTTACCGAAGTACTAAGCTGGGGACATCGGCTCAGAGATGGGGCATAGGGGGAGGGATGGTCGAACAAACGCGCACACACGCACAGCACCGGCAGCGAGACTAAGGGCAAAAGCACGTTCAGCTGATGCCCTTGCGGCTGCAAATACTCGAACAGTGTCCCCTTGGTGTTTGGAGATGCCCATCACCCGTGATTTTAGCCGTCGCCATTTGCTGAATGTATTTCGCAAAAAGTGTCAGGTAGCAAATGAACGCTGATAAGCGTCTCTTCTGCAGCACAGCCGCAGCCGGTCTCTGAAGGTCTATCGAGTTCATCTCTCTCCGCCTCTCTCTAGGGTCCCGCCTGACAACATCTTCGGCAGTCTCTGCGGTGCAGTACAGCGAGTCGATGCCTGATGGCAGGGTACATACGACAAACGGCTCGGGAGTTGCAGATTTCTCGTAAAGCATCGAAAACCACAAGATTGCATGCACACAGGCATCTTTGCGCGCGTAACTGCATGAAGCATGCAGATAAGACGACACCTACACACACAGTCACACACAAGCACGGATTTATTCATCTAGACATGCGCACCTACACTAACTAAACTATACCTCGTCTCGAGATTTCCCGCCGCATTGTGTGTGAAAGGTTTACAATTATTCACATCGAGTAACTTTTCAACGCGAGTTGGCGGTACGATTCCAGCTGGAGCGGCGGGTGACAACGCACATACCTGCCCATCAAAATCGCATCGACGAAAACACACCTGCACCGGACAACAGACCTGAGAGAGTTTTCCGTGCTGGGGCCACTAAGATTTCAATGCGAACTGCTCATACGACTAGTGGGCGATGCCGCAAGCGATGGGCTCGGATGGTGGAGCCCGGGACCGCTTTCCACGCTGCGGCCGATATAGCTCCGATACGACTCCGCCTGAAGCGATGGGCTGTTCTACATCCAACCCAAGCATTATTGTATCCATATCGAAACCGGTAAAACAATCGTTCATTCAGAAGTATGCTTCCCAGTACGTAGGTGCGGACGTATGTGCGACAGGGTACACGCAAGTGCAGCCACGTGGCGCCGAGCCGATGCCATTGCAAGCCCGTCAGACGTTGGGGGCTACCTTCCAGAGAAACTGCAACAGATTGACAGCATGGACTGATAGAAAGTGCAAACCCAAGAAATGTAGCTGGGCTTGGCACGCCAAATCGGCAAGCTTCGCTCCCCAAACTCTGACGCGAAGCTGGAGCCACATGCAGCACGGCATAATGATGCAATTTTACTGTATGTGTCCATTGCTGCCCAATACCAGCATGCAACTCGCAAGCGGCAAGCGCAAGGCAGTCACGACATGCTCCTGAAGTTCTTTCGCGCCGCGAAGTTCAACATTGGCCCTTGAGTCCTTGATGGGTCTGCATCAATGCAAAAAGAACCGGTAAAACCCAGTGGGAAAAACCCGGCGTGAAACCAAGTGCTGCTTGGAAAAGGGCCGCGAACATGTGAAGATCGCCACAGCCACATCAGACTACTAGACATTGTCCGTGTAGCGGCCAGAGCAGACTGACTACGAACTCGAAGAGCCCTAATCCAAGCAGCACTCCGAACAGGAAAGCTCTTTGAGAGGCGAAAAACCTGCCCGATCTTGCAAAACGAAGCACGTGCAACTCGACCCTCCGCCATCACTGCGTTCCGTAGGGATCATGTAGTGCGTCCCTGAGATTACAGTTTTTCTTTTGCATGCCCAAATACAGCATTTCCTGGATATGTAAATTTACGGGAAGGTCAGAAAGCTGAAAAAGGTGCACAGGAAAACGCATGAACCATACATGATACGGTGTTCTTATTTGCCTTTGAGTTACCTTCTCAATCAAGCCTGCTTGATATCCGGGCCTGACCTTGGTTTCATCTTGGATTTTGAATTTTTTGCCTATCTGTGGTTGCTGGGTGAGCTGATCAGGAATGTCATAGAAATCATTAGTTGTCTACAATACAAGAGGGAACCACAGCAGTGCTGGCAGATGGTGGACTTGCGAGCTGACCAAGCTGTCAGCCGCGAGCTGGCGTGGCAAAGGCCAGTGCGCTCTTATGCGCTCTTCCTTGCACTGGGAAAATTGTCTCCAGGCCAGCACGTGCAACACGCGCCTCAGGATGCTAAGCAACAGGTCGCGATATATGAACATTTCCTAGGCGGAGGGGGTCCACAGAAGCAGCGACCCGCGCTAGTGTGACTATTGTCACACCGGATGCGGCCTTCTCGGAAAATTATTTGCGGGCATCGGAAAATCCACATCACAGCCAATTCCCGGCTTGAGCCGCCTGAGGGAGTCGGGAGGCTTGGTGGGATCTTCTGGTCTTTCTTCACATGATAGGCACACAGGAGCCCGGGGAAGTGGGTCTCGGTTTCGTACTCCCCCTGAAGCCTAAATTATGAAGCTTAAATTCGGCGCCTAAATTCGGTCGGTGCTGG